GGCGTTTTCGTTCTTTACGAGGTAATTCGCGCTTATTCATGAACTCGAGCGAAACCGGCGATATATCTTCCGCAATCGCCATGCTTCGCACGGCGATTCCCGAAATTTGTGTGCGTTTCACATAGAGTGGCTTTGGAAACGTTCCGTTCCTTCGCGTTGAAAATCAATTTTCAGCTAACTCCGGTCCAATCTTTCCGGTTAGAAGAGAAACCGGTTGACATGCTAATGTCATATTAATCACCATTAACGCTAACGCGAGCGCTTGTCCATACTGAAAATAAACTGGTACCCGAGGGATAATAAATTTAAGTAACAAGGCTGCGGGCGGTCGCATTAATCCACAATCGTAACAGCACAACTTGACGGCACAACGTAACTGTGCGAGTTCCGTCATTGTGTTGTTTGCCGAGAGGTCACAGTTTTGCAAGAAAATTCAGCAAAAGATCTGAATAAAATATTTTCGCGTAGGTTGCGAAATTGCATTTTATCAAAAAAAAACAATTTTTTTTTTCATAGATTATATTGTATAAAATATAATATCTACATACGTGTGTTAATAATTGATATCAAGATAATTCGAGAAACGGAAGTTGAAACACTACGTAAATATTTATATTATAGCGTGTTACGCAAAATATCTTGCGTAACACGCAAAACGATGAGCACATCCATATCTATGCATATCAATTTCTTCAGGCACTTCGCATCGGATGCTAATATAAATGTAAATCGATAACGCAGTAATTATCGAACGAAACGCATAATTAACGGCTGAACTAATTAACGGCTTGAAACGCATAAGACTCATTACGCGAGATTTCGAACGACGCGACGATCGAGCGACGAGAGAGCGACAATTCGACTTCAATTTTCCTAGACGTTTGTGCTGCTCCTGACGAAGGGGGGGGGGGAGCCCCCATATATATTCGCAAGCTTACGCGGAGTAAGTTGTTTTGAAGAAAATAACACGATTAAAAAACTAAACTCCGATACGCGCCGTTGAGTCAGGCGATAATAATTGCAGCAAAAATACGCGGCGGAATATAATTAGGTGTATGCGCGCGTATGTCCATTTGCGTGAGATAAACCGACCTTAGCGGACTTTAATTTAGAGAAAGAGCCTAATGTACTTTCGCGAAAAATTGCGCTGCTCTCGTTCGAGTTGCGACCTTTTTTTTTTTCTTTGCTTCTTGTTGATGTTGTTTGCACAAAAATTCATCGTCGTCCGAACGAATCCGCGTCGCGTTGCGGAAAAGAAATATCCAGTTTTTTTTTCTTTTTGTCGATTTTTCGACGCGTCTTAACGCTTCTTTTTTTTTTATCGGCAACACATTGTCGTTTTCTATCAATATTTGTTATATAAAAATATTATCAATGTTTATAAATTATAGAGTTTTCGATCGAACACAATCGTACGTGCTAATATAAATACAAGCACGTAAAATTTGCGAATTAATTGGGTCACTTTTGCACTCTTACTCGTTTAATATATACGATATTACTCTTCGTAAATTTGCTCGGGCAAAATTGCAATTGTTGTAATAATATCGCTTCCATTATTTTAAGCGCTCCGAACTTTCTCTCTGAATTTTTCGATGTTTTTACCACAAAGCCGTCGCTACAAATTGATCCCAAATTAAGCGGCGCAATATCAACGTTGCATTTGGCGATCCCACGTTAATAAGGTTTATACTTTCGAAACAATATTTTTCACGAAAAAATTATGATCAAAGAGCCCATATTGATAAAATTCTGATTTTGGGTTTTTTTTTTTTTTTTTTTTTTAATTCCAGGATCACACGCCCGCTATTTTTTCTTGTCCGATCCAATGAAACTTCTTCTTTCTCCGTTGCATGTCGATACGAATGCAATTAGAAATCTCTAAATAGCTCGCTAAAATTCAGACTGTTGAACGCGAAACTAGTTCACGCATGGTGGACTAGTAGGTTCGGACGAAAACTCCGAAATTACCAAGAGTATATATCGGAATCGCAACGGCAGAGCGTCAGAATCGATCCTCGAGCGCAATTTAATTTGCGAATTTCTCGTCGTTCCGCAGAAATAACGCGTTTTCGCGGAAACGTCGTGCCGTGGTTGACCCGCGATCAGTTTTCCGCGGCCCTAATGACCGTTTCCCCCGTTCGCAAACGATCAAATCAATTCAAAGCGCTGCGAAAGAATGGACAGGCGCCATGAAAAATCGCCGCCAGACTTGATTCGCACGCGATACATTTTTCTACTATATAGTGTCTGTCTGTGTGTGTGTGTGTGCGTGTGTCTGTCTGTATGAACGGATGAGAAGAACTCTCGTGCGTGCGCGTGCGTGCGTCAATCGCGCGAATACGACGAAAACGTATACTTGTTTTGTGCACGTGGGTGCATCATACACACACACACACACACACGCGCGAGTATATATACGCGATATTGGCGTGACGGTACGTTGCATTTGCGGCACGCGCGCCGTGATACCGGGTGTCCGTCCGAGAAGCGCGCGGCTGATTGTCGCATCCTAGCCTGGTAATTGGCCGACCGTTGTCGGGTTTGCGTTTGATCGGCGATAGGACGCGCGGAAAACGCTGTTTGAAAGATAAAGGCCGGTTTGTGGTAGCGAATTCTGTTGTTGCCTGGCAGAAGCGCGTATAAATCAAAAAGAACCGCGACGCAAAGTCACGAAATATTACATGTAGGTAGCTGAAAGGATTAAAAAAAAAAGATAGATTTTTGATTAAAATAAAAACAAAAATTTCGCACGTATAAAAACGGTTAATAATAATCTCGTTATTTTTTGTAATTTATTCTATTTAAGAGAGAGAGAGAGAGAGAAAGAGAGAGAGCGGCGGAGAGGTTTGTGCGCGCGCGAAAGATATTTCATAAAAATTTGTGTAGAGATTTTCTCTTCGTTTTCCCGCAAAACACGCGAAAAGTTGTAATCGAGAAGTGAAAACGTTTGACGGCAGGAGGATTAAATTGAAGCGCGTCGCAAATCGAATTATTTTCACGGTTTCTTGATGACAAAATGTACGATAGATCGGCGAGCTTTTACTCAAATGAATATCGAATACTGTTTGCTAAATTAATGAACGAACGAAAAACACAAGCTCGCGCTGGCGGGCATATTTCCGCGATGTTAAATATTTATTCAGGAAATTAACATCCGTCACGAATGCACACGTATATCCGCAAACGTATACTACGGCGCGCGGCTCTGATAATTGTTTCGACTAGCATAAATATCATAATTTGTAAAATCCCAGCCTGATGATTTAACACACCAACAGTATCCGCGCGCGCGCGCGCGCGCGAAAAATCGACGCTGTGCGTGGAAATCTTTTCGCCGAGACGACGACAGACAAGCGCGACTGTTGCAGTTAGGCACGTCATGTGCGATAACAGTCAACTATTCGGCCTTTGGATAAGGAAGTGAAAAATCCCGTTATCGCTGTCTGTATCGCGAAACGTTCCGGGGAGCAGAACGAGAATTCTGGCGTAACACACACACACACACACACACAGACAGACACACTCGTGTCCGGGACACAAAAATTTCATATCTTCGACACACGTTAGATGCGCACTCAAACGCGCTCTTTCTCTTCAAAAGAGTTTCGCGCAAGAACAAACATATCTATCTATTTCTCAACGCACTTTCAATCAGCAGCAAAGAACAAACGCGCTTCCTACTGGTTATTCTGTTCTTTTTTTTCTTCTTCTTCTTCTTCTTCTTCTTCTTCTTTTACTCGGCATTGCGGTGTGACAAAAGTTTTGCGCGACGCAAAACACGACGCGATAATTGCTCTTAATTACACCACCGAGCACAGTGTGTTGAACGGTGCTCCGTGGAAATTATATTTCCATACGTTTTAATTCGCGCGTCCGACGATAATACGGTACATATATTTGTCCAGGTTGTTGAAAAAGTTAATTAATTAGATCAACACGTCTCATTCTCTCCCACGCACGTGTAATTAAATTCTCGAGCGTTCTCAAATGCCGCGATGAATCTTCCGTAAACTGCGCGAAAAATTCGCGCGTTTTAAAGTAAAAAAAAACAAAAAAAAACAAAAAAAAAAGGAAACAGAGAGAGAGAGAGAGAGAGAGAGAGGGACAAAATGTCATTTTTCTCGCTAATGCGATTCTTCTCGCTTTGCCGCGCGGTTGCAATAATGCAACCCGTGTCCTTCGAAAACCACCGTGTCCGGTTACTCAATCGCACGCGATCTGCATAATTTCGCATCTCGCATCTCGCTGAAAGAACCGTATATATCCGCGCGGTTCTGTATTCCGCGATGTGCTTTTCTCTGGGAGAAACCTTAATCATCGTTCATCATTTCCTATGACAAACGACGACCGGTCGGATGCGTTGTTATATGGGCGACGACGCGCGCGCGCGCGCGTGCGCGAGAGTTTGCGGCAAGCGGGGTTTTTAGGATATATATATCGTCACACACAAACGCGCGACTGCACATTTTACTCGCAACTCGCTCCAAGATTATGCAACCGCGATTATAAAACCGCGGGCTACCTATTTTAACGCATTTATACGATTACGATAGCGACAGTTTGCATTCAGGAAAAATACGCGTTCCGATAGTAAAACTTTTATCGTTCGACTTTTGACACACATGGTAATGCGCAGTTTGTGATTTTTTTTTTTTTTCTAACGAACTAATTGCAAAAACGAGAACGCCACGTGATTGCAAAGCATTTAAACGCGATGATGATATATTACTGAGAATGTTCAGTTTTTTTATCTTGGATTTTTTCTCGTTACTGTACTTGGTTTTATCTCTATTAAAGATTTGAAATTAATCTTAATTCAATGAAAACTTTAATTCCGATACAAGAGCTAATGACCGATTTGATCTTTGAGATCGTTGGTCCCAAAATCGTATGTCTTGATCGGGTGTGAGAAAATCATTCTGCAACCTGTATCGCGATACGGGTTTCGGGTATGCCGGTGCACATCATTGTTTGATGTAGTTGCGGTGGTCTCGCAGGTCTGGAACGGGTAGCGGAAGAGTTGATGGGCCGTAGGAGATGGAAGCAATACCAGGACACCCTGTACAGCGGCACCCGCAGCAGCGAATCAGCGACGGCACAGCCCCACCATCGGCTTTACCCGGCGTTGTCCTCGTCCTGCAACCAGATACCCGGGAGCCTGGACCAGATTGTTGGGCCGCAGCTACATCACCCGGCACCCTCGTCGTTGCCGTCGGCGGTTGCGCCGACGGTGCTGACGACGGCGACGACCACGACGACGACGACAACGACGGCTATTACACTCGCGAGCGGTGTGGTGAAGCAGGAAAGCCTGCAGAGGCATCATCTGCAAAACCACCACCACCACCTGCAAACGCCGGTTCAGGATCATCCGCAGGAGGATTCGCGTCGTCTGAGGCCGGCCGAGATCAAGGTCGAGGCCGGCGACGAGGAGGCGGCCGCGGACGGTGTCGCGCGAGAAGACACCGCAACGAGAACGACGGACACGACGGCAACGTCGTCGACGACAACGACGACGGGAGGAGCGGCGGCGGCGGCGACGACGACGACGACGACGATCACGTCGACAACGACAACGGCGACCGGTACGACGACGATAGCGACGAGACGGCGACGCGTACGCCGGCAGAACGACGGGGAGGACGCCGAGGGCGAGGAGGACGGAGACGAGAACGACGAGGAGACAGGACGTGGCCAGAACGAGGCGGAGAAACGGCTCAAGCTCGACGAGGACGCCGACAGGTCGGTGGTCAGCCCTCTAAGGACGGAGAACGATCGTGCGACTCGGGATCATCCGACTGCCAACGCTACCGACACGGAAGGGACCAAGGTTGGTCGGAAATTTGTTGATGTTTTTTTTTGTATTAGAGTTAGTACCGATAATTTCGCAGAAATCATTTTTTTTTTTACGCTTTTATCTAGTTTCTGATAAGTTTTCTTTATCTCTGTCTCAGTCTTCGATAAAGGCCTCTAATCTCTTGTGGCATTAAGTTACTCTTTGTGTAAATCACTATCTTTAAAATGAAAATATAGTTTCTGAGGTTTATTGTTTTTTTTTTTTTTTATTTTTTAATTTTTTGTTATTCTCCACTTCAGGAACGGACGGAGGAAATTACGTTGGAGCGGGCACCGGTAACGCAGGGCTTGCTGAGGGTAAAAAAGGAAGAGGAGCTGCAGGAGGTGCCGAGTTCTGGTGGCGGAACGACGATACTTACGACGCCGGCGACGGACTCGGAAGGGACCAGGTCGGGGTTGTTATGCCGCGAAGGGAACGCGGCCGCAACGACGAGCGTAGCGACGACGCCGTTTTTCCTCGGAAGACGCGCGAGTCCGCCACCGGAGGACTGGAAGCCGCTCGACAAGTGTTACTTCTGCCTCGATGGCAAGCTACCCCACGACGACCAGGCGCCCCTTGTAAGTATATATCGCGAGGTATACTACTGCCGAGCCTGCCGATTGCGAGATTGCGCATGGCTTGAGCACACACGGGGCTGAGACCCTCCCCCCCCTTTATCCGCAACCGCTAATTTTCCGTAGAGACGATCCTTAAGAGCGACCTCACAGAAAATTGAGATGAAAACCCGAGTCGAAATTTGTTCTTCCCTTTCTTTCGACACTTACATTACAGAGTTTCTTTCTCTATTCAAATCACGTTTTAATATTTTATAAAAAAATATTAAATATAAAATTGTTACGAACAAAAGAATTTATTTGGCTATTGAAGCAAACACATTTATTTGGGTGTGTATTATTTTTTAATCCGTTTATTAGAAAACTATAACATTAACGTTTTCGACCTTTCAATTAGGTCCTTCTCAAATGTATGTAAAAATCTTAGCAATTATGTGTCGCTGAGTGCTGATCGTCCATGTTGCACGAGCAACACTTTACAAGAGTGAAAACGCGACTGAGTCGCACTTGTAAAGTGTTGGTCGGGACTGCTCGTGCAACATGGACATCCACGATCAGCACTCAGCGACACATAATTGCTGAGATTTTTACATACATTTGAGAAGGACCTAATTGAAAGGTCGAAAACGTTAATGTTATAGTTTTCTAATAAACGGATTAAAATAATACACACCCAAATAACTGTGTTTGCTTCAATAGCCAAATAAATTCTTTTGTTCGTTACAAAATTTCTGAAGCTACACTCATCTTTACATAATAAAATTGTATTATTTTAACGATCTGAAATCGAAAAAGATTCCAAACTTCAGATTCGAAAGAAAGGAGGAACAGAATTCGATTGGGGGGAAAAAAAAAACAAAACGAACAAACGAATAAAGTCGTCCTTGCGCGGAAATCCCAAAGATCCGAAAAAAATAGCATCACAAGCACACGCTTTCCGGACAAATTAGAATTATCTCAAAATCAAAAAAAAAAAAAAAAACCTTGTGGACAGTTTTTTTACTGAGACGATCATCAGTGTATGAAAACTAACTGCTCGTCTTTCGCCTGCTGCTTACGCGATCGCGACACATCTCGGAGGGGGGGGGGTTACATCTCGTTTCATTCCCCGTTTTTCTTTCACGCACCTGTTGTGCCGACGCGACTCGACTCTGACCTCAGCATCTGCCGCTTCTGATTAAGTCGAGCACCTTCGTGCCTGGGCGCCACAGACTTGCCTCGCTCTCTCTCAGCTTTTTTGATCGCTTTGATCGCGTCCATAAAAGATTCACGAGGAGGACTCGCGAAGACGGCGGTGGAGACGCGCGTTGCTTGCCTCCCCCCCGCCTTTTGAGACGACACGAACTCGATCAGAATTCGATACCGCCGCATTCGCGCGTTTCTTGCCTCGCGAATCTAATCCCTTATGGTTGTCTATATATATCCTTATTATCTCCGTTTCCTGTTTGCCAATCCCGCGTTCGGTCATTCGGGCGTTCTTTCCAATCGCGCGAGAGCCGGGATGACACGTTTCTTCGTGTTGTGACCCGCAGAGTCCGCAGAGCGACAGTAGCAGCAGTTCGCGATCGGCGGAGTCACCCATGTCGTCGGTTCAGGTGGACCCCATGGCGGCGTCCGTGGTCGCTGCCGCCCTCAGCGGCACTTATCCCACCTTACTACCCCAATGGTGCTTACCGCCGAGGGAGGCGCCCCTCGTCGGGGTGCATACCCACCAGGACAGCGCCGCGGCGGCCGATCAACCGCTCGATCTCTCGGCCAAACCCGGAAGAACAACTCAGGTAAGTTGTCGAGATGCTCTTCTGTAGGCGCGCGCACTTCTTCTTTTTCACTTCGGCTTCGTCATTTTTTCTGTCTCATTTGACGTTTCTCATTTGTCATTTGTTTTCGTTTGAATGAAGGATTGTACGAGCGAAAATAACGATTTGCGCACATATAATTTTTCCAGTAAAAACTTAACTGTCTCTCTCTTTCTCTCTCTTTCATTCTCTCTCTCTCTCTCTCTCTCTCTCTCTTTCTCTCGACGATACGCGATTATTTTCTTATTTTACACGAGACTCGTCGCTGTATTAACGCGTATATTGCCGAAGATGTAATTCCTCTCATATAGTATTGTTTTATTAGAGCTTTATTAGTCGTGTCATTGACTAACGCTGACGTCTGAGTAACTAAGCTGTACGCTTGTGTGATAATATCAGTTTTTATTTTTTTATTTTTTTATTTTTTTTTTTTTTTGTTTTGTTTCGTTACGTCTCTCTCCTCGGTCGTTTCTCGTATTAAATGTCGTTATCCATTTGTCTGTTCAGGACACGAACATATCTCTACTGGAGCAACAGAAAATACCTCTGAGGATGCCGACAGGCATCGATCCCAAGAGCATCCTCAAGTAAGTAACGTTTGTTTTTTTTGTTTTTGGGTTTTAAATGCGATTTCTCAAAAAACAACGAAACGGCGTGGAAAAATCTTTTTTTTTTTTTTTTTTTTTACTTTTTGTCGACCGATCGACCATCTCGACTTGTCAAATCAAACGCGAACAATAAACTCGCGACACATCTCGCTGCGCATTTAATTCAAATTGCATATTCTCTGTGTTATTCATCGAAGTAATCGATCAACGGTAATAAAATTCGAACGAAGGAAATTAAAAACTCTGATAAACACAACTCAATCGATGAAAGTAAAAAATTGCAACAAAACTGTGAAAAAAAAAAACTCTTTGCAATTGTGCTCTCGCGTCAAAAATTTGATTTCCTGCGTTTAAACGAAACTCTCTATGTTTAATTTGAAAATTTTCACTTTTGCAAATTTTACTTTTTTGCATCGGTAAATTTTGAACACATGGTAACGTAAGCGTCTGCATCGCAATGGTGGTATAGCGTAAGAACGACGACGTTCTTTAAAGCGCGTTTTGGAATAAGTAAAAAAAAAAAAAAAAAAAAAAAAAANAAAAGGAAAAGAAAAGAAAAGGAAAAGAGTTCAAGTAGCAGAAGCGAAACGAAAGCAAATGGCAAAAATCGCATCCCGAAGAGGGAGTATTCGGGCACGACGGCAGTTCTTCTCGACGTGGAAAATCGTCGCGCGCCAACGACGACGACGACGACGTTTCGCTGTTATCGCTTGCAGCTCGCTTTACACCTCGAGGCGAGCCGCGCCGCGCTGATACCGAATATATGCATTCCGTACGTACCGAACGACGAGGAGGAAAAGAAAAAAAAGAAAAAAAAAAAAAAAGAGAATACGATCCGCGATCGCATTCCGTAGCGAACGTTCCTCGTGATCGAGTGGGCCGTTTAAGCCGGGGCCGGGCGTTTCGATAAGGCGTCGATTAAAACGCCGCCGGCAAACACGACTTTCAAAAAATCGCGAAACTGACAGCCAGTCGATCCGGAATGCCGTCGCAATTAGGTGCCAATCACCGAGACCGGGGGCATAACCGTGATTTATCTCCCTCGTAAAGACGTCATACGCGCGACAAACGGAGGGGAATCCCCCGTATCGTTCTCCGAATGACATTTGTTCGGAGCCCGATCCGAGTTTTCGCGTTCCGCCGCGCGCGCGCGCGCGCGCGCTGCAAAACGCGACGTTTTCGGATATCTGCTACACTACAAAAAAAAAATATATTAGACGCGACGGAATCTATTATTTTTGTGCATCTCACACACACGTGTGTGTGTGTGTGTGTTGTTGTTGTTGTTGTGTGTGTGTGTGTAATCTCGGACAAAAATCAAATCTTCATATACTATTTTTTTTACTAAAAGCAGAGATATAACAGCACTTTTGGTTAAATAATTCCTTCTGTCAATTTTTTCTGTGTCGTGTAAATAAATAATTTTCAACTTTTTTCCACAAACGCGATATTTTTTTTTTTTTCGCAATTCCAAACTATCGCTGTATATCGCGCGCGTGTGTGTGTGTTGTGCAGAAATAATGATATAATCTAAATAAAGTTTCTAAAGAATTTTATGCGCGCGCGTCAGGCAACAAACAACGTCGCATCAGATACCCGATAATAATAATAATACGTCGGCGAACTGTCAATTAATATCCACATTGGATTGTGTGCGCCGGTTCGAAAAGGTAAAAAAACTGATACTTGACGGCGATTTATAAATCAATCTTCAGAAATTAAACTCGTACTTTGCTCGCTACTGTCATCGTCGCGCTTATTATTCTCGCGCAAGTGTGCACTTATTTCGAACTTGCATGTTTGTCTTACTGAAATGATAATCGATCGTTGTGTATCGTGTGAGAATTAATGATTTTCTTTCTCTCTTATCGTCGCTTATTATTTTACAAATCGTACTACGTCCGAGCGCGTGAAAAGTAAAACACGGTTGTTCTTTGTATATTGAGAAAATGTCGCTTGTTCTTCGATCGAACTCTCGCTGATGAACGGATCGCGCGATTCTCGTACGTGTAAATGTTTGATGCATTTCGCGCGGTGCGAAACTGTTTTAAACTGCGCGACAAAATTTCGTTGTAACGCGTTTGCAACAAGCAGCAGCTATCCAAATCATGATACAATCCGGCCGAACTTTTTCAACCCTTTGAACTTTAAACTGCTACACGTCCGCCAACGCACGTACCACGATAAATGCATAAACAATGCGTTTCGCACTGTATCGATGCAACTCGGTCTCTCTCTCTCTCTCTCTCTCTCTCAATTGCGAAACATGACAGAGCAAAAATTTCGTGAATCCACTCGCGCGTTCAAGTAAGTAATAACAAAAAGAACAAAAATTTTATATTATGTGCTTTGTTTTGTCTTGGAAAAATGTTGAGAGAATAAACGTTATCGCGTTAGTTCGAACGGGTGGAACTCTTCAATTATATCGATCATTCGCAGAGAAATATCGCGTGATTCTTGAAAAATAAAACGTATCGCGGTTCGCGGGCCAATCGCGAATGCTTGAGGCATTCTCAGAGGCGTGCGTTGCCCTCGTGTTTTCGCTGATTTCCCCCCGCGAAACACATTTTGCGCGTCAAATTTTTATCGTCGTCTATTATTAGTCCATCGTAATCTGCACCTCCTGACACATCGAAGACGCGGAGCACTCTTCGCGCGCGTTGCATTACGAAGAGCGTAAAGAGAGAACTGAAACTCGAGAAGGAAAAGAGAAAGAACATAGAAACGGGATAGGAAATGCGAGAACGAAACAAGTTGAAGAGAGAAGAAAGATCGGAAAAGAAAAGAAAGAGAAAAGCGAGAGAGAGAGAGAGAGAGAGAAAGAGAGAGAGAGAAATCGCTTCGACGCATGTGCGATGACGTAATTAGCGATAAGATAGTTCGGCAAAACTGTGCGAGTCGAAATCAAAGGCAAATTCAGATACAAAAAAATTTATTAAAAACAAGTAAAAAGACTCAATTATTTTAGGTACTGTTAAATATTTTATTTTTTAATATTTTTCTAGTCACTCTTATATATATATATATAAATAATAATAATAATAAATAATAATAATAAAATAATAATCAATGCACATGTTACTGTTTTCGAATTAAATTCAATTTTCTTACTGAGACGATGGCTATATATATACGCAATCAGAATTTTTTCACATACTCGCATAGATACATAAAAAATTTTATCGAAGGTTCGTGTAATGAGAAAAATGCAAAACCAGTTGATTAGGTACATCTAAGGACACGTGTATCTTTATCTTTCTCAAGTCGCGAACAAAATTAGACGTACAGAGTTTGCACTTGCGCGTCCGCGATACTGAAAAATAGCCGCAATAAAACCAGAGACAGGGATATATACTGAGGTAAAACCGGTTCGTAGAAGGCTTTGAAGGAGAAGGTTCGCTTGGCCAAAGCGGTATTGACGCCGCCGTTGCGAAGGACAAGATTACGACTATCTAGTTCGCGATTGCGTGAGTCTTGTGATTTATGCGAGAATTTTACAAAACCACCGAACCAGTCCAGTTTGATCGAACTTTCAGGCTTCCGGCTTCGTGTTGCATATAAATGTTGATGATACTTGTTTTTGCTGCTCGGTTCAGATCAATTTCTCATCATAAAGATGTCGCACGTTACACGAGTTTTATTTCTTAAATTTATTAATCTATCCGCGCGACTTTTGATTTTTATGAATTAACGCGTAAATAAAATTTTATAAATAAAACGGCAACAGTCGAAATTTAGCGTCTACATTGAACTTCAATTTTTCTTTTTTTATGTAGGAGTAAGAGAGAAAGTAGATCCTACTTTGACGCTGCTATACGTTCGAAATTTCCTTTTTTTCTGCTAAAGTTTTAAAGTTGGGTTCAATTCTCAGATCAGGCTGCGCATTGCAGGCTCTGATAGGCTCAAAATAGGTTCTGATAGGTTCAAAGTAGGAGTAAGAAAAAAAGTAGATGCTACTTTGACGCTGCTACACGTCCGAAATTTTCTTTTTTCAAAAATTGAGGTTCAATGTAGACGCTAAATTTCGACTCGGTATATTTTTCTCACCGATCAAAAATAATGCACGAATGAAAAATCAAATTCTCTACCGCTCTATAAAAGTTGAGCCTTGCTTAAAAAAAAAAAAAAAACAAAATATTCTCTCGACGATATATAAAAGTTTGATATTTTCTGCGCTTAAGAAATATACGTGCGACGAATTTAACGAAAATGCGCAAATAATTACTTTTCCCTCCTCGTGGAACGTTGAATCTGCGCGTCGAAACGCGACCGAGTTTCCGACGATGTTGAACGTGTGAGGCGTATCGTCGCGTAAAACCGCAGACGAGTCGACAAACAAAAATCTCAGATAAATCAGCGCCGGTCGATGACTGACGTAGCGGGATTTATCCCGGGAGGCTAACGTCGGTCGAAATGCACTTTTTATCAGCGACGCAGGTCGACGAACTTGCAGAGGGGGCTCCCGGTGTACACGCGAGCGGGGGTGGGACGATGAAAGGGGAGTTTGCGCTGATGATTCCTTACGCCTAATCTTATCGTTGCGCTCTGTGACAAATTACACCGGCCCGATACTCATCGTCTTCGTGCCACGTCTCAAGTTCTTTTATGTATGTTGCAAGAGAGCGCGAAATATTATTAACAATTACTTCCACGCCAAAAATTGTTCCCGTTTGCTTTTTGTTTTTTCTCTCATATTCGGATCAAAATTGCAAATAACACGTTATCGAAACATGTGAAAAATTGATTATTGCACACTGAGAGAACGATAGGAGAAACTTCAATTTGCGTTTACTTTGCTTTGAATTTTATTACCGCGAAATTGAATAATAAATAATTCGTTTAAGTTGTAAATTTTGACGTTTAAATTGACAACAAAAAAAAAAAAAAAATGCTCGTAAGAAGTTTGACGTCACAGACGCATTAGAGAAGTGTTTTATAACAAAACAACTGCTTTGCAATTGTAATGTGTTTTTGAAACTATAGCTACGTGACACTAAAATTTATGATAGTGATAAAAAGAGAAAATTCTAGTAAAAAGAACATCAAAGTTATTAAGAATCGCGCGCTAATCTCGCGACGATGCTTAAAAGTGATGATGTGCGTTGTTTTAATTCGCCGTCTCTTTGACGTAAATCTTATCTCCATAATGTAAATATCGAAAATATGCATTTGAAAATACGCAAATGTTCCGAGAACATAACAAGTTTTTTTTTTCTTTTCTGGAAAAACTGGTTGCAGAGACAGAGTTCGATCAAATTGCAAAAAGTCTCGACGTATATAAATCTTTCAATCTGACCGCTTAAAAAAAAAAGAAAAAAAAAAACTTAATTTGCATTGACTCAGTGTCGCGCGAAGCCGAGATCAAAGTTGCACGGATTCGCGCAGTTCGAGCACGACGTCAAACACGTGTTAGACGTCGAAACCAGTCACGTGGTCTCGTTTAATGCGAATCGTCTCTTGGGTTAGTCCGGTAGACGCGCGAGAGCACACGTGAGCTTGCATTACGAGGAGAAGCGACAGAGAACCTGACTTTGTTATGAGATTCGCAGCTTGAGGGAGTATCGATCACCACCTATTGGCCAAACGATTAGCAAACCACGGTCTTCTGATCCCTTATGCTTACGGCGATATTCGCAGCGAGATGTTCGAAGATTGAGATTGTCTCACGGTTGACATCACCACGATTAGATAATATCTATTTAAACAACGTTTTATTTTTTTTGTTTTTTTTTTGCATCTGCCTGTCAGACGGAAAGTCAACCATTTTGTAGAATATTTTAAAGATTGTCTGATGTGTAATAATGTTGAACGACAAATTTATGATGTAAACTATGCGTGTTACGAGAGCTTGTACACTCATTAAAAAAAACTTGTCTCACAATAATCGCAAACGCGGAAAATCCGCGTGAGATATAAAAATAAATTTTCTTCTAACAGGCAATCTCGATAAAACCGACATTTTTTTTCCGTTACGAGATATCTCTCGATTTTTACACACATCGAAAAAATTATATTCTCGTAAGTAGAAGATTTTATACTTGAAAAATCTTCTTAAAGATTTTAGATGATATTCTTCTGAAATTAAGAATATATTCTTTATTTAAGAATATAGTCCTTTTCGATAGTAAGATATATATGTTTTTTTTTCTATAGAGGCTTTTTATATTCTAATCAGTATATATTCTTATCAATATTACTATTTAGAGGATTTTCCTCTTAAAATAAGAAACTCTTGTTGGCGCCTATTTTAGTATAAAATATACTTAAAGTAAGTGGGATATCTCTCCTCAAAACAAGAATACAATTTTTTCGGTGCACAAACAAGTAGAGATGCCAATAACTGGAAAAGAACTCGAACTCCTCGAACTCTCCTCGAGAGAGATTCGTCTATTTTGCTTGATTTATTTCTATATGTAATTTTGCAAATTACACACGGACAGTTCTCAGCTAACGTCAAATTGCAGACAAAAAAAAGAGCATCGAATACTGACGCGTCCGGTGTATATAACGTTGATTAACGCTGTTTCAGCTCGTACCGCGCGAAACCGCGAATGACCGGACCGGTTGCGGCCGCGGCGGCGGCGGCGGCGGCGGCTGCGGCTGCGGCAGGCGTCGGTGGTGTTCCAGTGGTGGGTGCCGGGGGCGGCAGGAGAACTTATACCGAGGAAGAGCTGAAGGCCGCCCTCAATGACATCCAGAGCGGCAAGCTCGGCACGCGGAGGGCGGCGGTGATCTACGGGATACCTCGTAGCACCCTGCGCAACAAGGTCTACAAGCTCGCGATGGAACGCGAAAGGGAATCCCTGACTAGCACCCATTCACACCCTCACGAGCCCGGCGCCCCAGCCACCACCACCACCACCATCACCACCACCACCACCACTACTACTACAACACCACCAAATACGACCCAAAACGCCTCCGCGACCACTCCGCCCCCGCAAGTGGACGAGGTAGGTTTTGGGGACAGAAAACGAGAAGATTAAGTAGACAGAGAAAAAATATGTCTCTTATAAGAGGGAGAGAGAGAGAGAGAGAGAGGGAGAGAAAGGGAAACAGAAAGAACGAGAAAGAGAGAGAGAGAGAGAGAGCAGAAAGAGAGAAAGAGAGCGAGAGTGGGCGAGATGCAGAGAGCGGGGGGTTGGAAAACGTGCCATCGACACGTGCCGAAGTACTCCGTCGGTCTTTTACGCGTGTCGGGGAGAAAAGACGAGGATGCAAATTGGCAGGCAGCGACGGGCTGTGAATCTCGTGAGGGAATAATGCGACGAGACGTTTTACCACCGAAATGGCTACCGAAGCGACGCGCAAAGATGTCCTCGTCGAGTCTTCTTCTTTTTTTTTTTTTTTTATCTGTACGAGCGCCTGATGTAATATTATGGACTCTTCGTTTTTTAGTATAGTACATCTTTTTTTCATTATTTGCGGATTATACTTACAGCGAGAAAATAATAACTTACGTGCGTGAGCAAGAAAAATATAATTATAAAATTGTTTAAAATGGAAATATATATATATGTATGAATCAGATCTTCGATCCGTGTGTGCGAAAAAAAAGTGCGGAAAGTGTTCAACGTAATAAGAAGCGGAGAAAAATATCTGTACGGATTTTTATCTTACTTTTTTTTTTTTTTTTTTTTTGACTTGACGTCAAATCAGGAAAATTGCGAATCAAGGATTTAGAATAATAATTTTTTATTCGCACATTGCGATTAACTAAGTTCTAAGATAAACATTCGCGTGCGTAATGGGATAGAAATTTCTACGGATTTTTTTTTTTTTTTTTTTTTTTTTTTTTTTTTTTGACTTGACGTCAAATCAGGAAAATTGCGAATCAAGGATTTAGAATAATAATTTTTTATTCGCACATTGCGATTAACTAAGTTCTAAGATAAACATTCGCGTGCGTAATGGGATAGATTTCAACGGTAAAATGCGCGTACGTGTATCGATCGAAGATGTTATATATTTACAAGCTCATGGTGTGTTAAAAAATATTATATCAGGCACTTGTGAAATCTCGATATCTATCTGTGGAATGTGTTCGCGAGTTCGACGGTACAATTTTCCGTTTTGATTCAAATGGCCGATATTACCGCGCGGAGGAACGCAGAAGGATGGGAAACCGAACGATGCACAAGGGAGATTTCTCGGCGGTAGAATTCGCGCGCGCGAATACATACCGTCCATTTTGTAATACCTAAGTGTGGTTTTGGTTTAGGAAGAACGAACGAAGCTTCCCCAAAACATACCTCTCGCACGGCGATCGTGGATCTCGCGTGGACCCGAGAGCTCGCGTCTCGTGTATCGCGAAATGACACTCTGTGGTCGTCTGTGAAATTCAGACTCGGTCGAGTTGTTCCGGACATTTCTTGATTGTTATATAACTTTAATCTAATTTCCCAAACGGGTTATGAGATTTTTTTTAGTAACAATTTTATGTCTTTTTGTCGAACATTCCGCACTTTCCGATGTGTCAAATTTTATTAGGTCTACCGGAAAGTTCTGTCCGATTTTGGAATAAAACAAAACACCAATTTTTCTTACCGTCAATAAATCTTTATTAAATAATATAATTGCCTACGTCAGTATGTATACATTAAGTGATAAAAAATAGAGAGGCACACATGCGCCAAATAAACATGTGCTTAAACGTGTCGAAACTTGTTGTGATAGAAACGGACAGAACTTTCCGGTAGACCTAATAATTTTTCGCCACGCCGCGTGTTACATGTTAAAAGATGTAAAAAAATTAATAATAATTTACGTACGTATATTGAGGAAAATTGATTTTCTAAATTTTGCGCTGACAAAAATTAGATAATAAAATGTGTGTAAATATATATCGATCCAGTCTGAAAAAAAAATAAAGCGACGACAACCCGTGTCTTTTGTTTCGGTGACTGACCGAAGTCAGTTTCTCCCGAAGCTGAAGAAAATCATCGACGAACGCGGTCTACGCGCGGCTCCAAACCGCGGTCGCCGTGATTGCTCAAGTAGTGTCCAGTGTGTTTTTGCATGGGCTGTTTTTAACTTTTTTTTTTTTATCTCACTATTTGTAGTTTAACACACGGCAACTTGGTGTCCGCGAGGTTGCAAGACTCGAGGTAAGTTTTTTTTAGGAAGGACCCGCGTCGCGTGCGAGACGGGACGAGAAGAGGATCTTTTACCGGGCTCGATCTTCCTCTCGTCCTTTGATCGACGCTTTGTCTCGGAATTCCGCGTCTCGGAATTCATATGTGAATGTTCAACGCTTCTCGGACCTCGACACTGCATCCTCGATGTGTCGCGCATATATATATATATGTATATATATATATAACAACCCTATCCGCGCGCGTTAGAGAAGCGAGACGTCCAATCAAATAATTGTTCCGAAATAGGCGGATCGCAATTTCAGTTGCGCGAAACGCGCGCGCCCCGTCATGCATGAAACAGTCGCGCGATCGAAGATTACGGCGGATTAAACACGACCCGATTTAATCCTCATCATCTGATAGTGTCTTTTGCCTTAATTCTCGATCTGATTGCGATTAATTTCGCTTAGCGTGCGCAGAGAGATCGATCCGCGTTTTGTCGAGAATTTCTAGAACATTCGAATGAAAGAACTTTCGATTTAATTTTGCAAAAATATTAACACAATTATTGTTTCTTTTTTTTTTTTATTTTCGCAATTAACAACAGTATCAGAATTTTATTTTGACTCCATAGAACAGCATTCTTGTTAAGACAAACACGCGAACGAGGTGGAAAACATTGTCACGAAATATTGCGAGATTAAAATTCGGGTCGTTTTGTTGCACGTAGTCGATAAACAAAAAATTTGTCTTTGTCGCATCGTAATTTGCTTTCGAAAATCATAATTGCATGGCACGATTTGTTCGTTTATAGATGTTTTAATAAGCATTATGTTAAAACAAAAAAAAAAAAGAACCGCCGGCCGAGCTTCGTCTCGAGCATGAACACCATTTGAACGTTAGTTTGCGGTACAAGCTTGTCGAGCTCGTAAGCACGGTCTGTATGCACGGTTAGAGTCTCGTTTTTTTTTTTTTTTTGGTGTCTGCGTTTCGTGCGATCGCGTACCGCGTGTGTTTGTGTAACGTAACAACCATCATCATAGAAGGTTGTTGCTTCACTTTTAGCGCGATGCATGCCGCCTTTAAACGAGTCCCGAGGGATCTCTGCACTTAAATTCCGAGTGTAGCTCGTCGAAACGCACGTCAAAGATAAGTTTGACTCTCCCACGCGAAGTTTGCTCTCTTTTCTTTCTATCGAGGGGAGACTGGCAAGGAAGAAAAAAAAAAAAGGGAAAATAGACGTCTGTCGTCTGCGCGAGCGCATCGAAAACAGTTTCGCGTAAAAATACTTGCCGCTTCGTCGAAAAAAAAAAAAAAAAACAAACAAATGCCGATTAGCAAGCTCTCCTGCATGGCGCTTGGCTATTCCGCTGCTCGATCGTGAAATATGTATACCGAGTGCTTTGCGTAAAGTGACCTGGTCTCTATATTCTAAAGAAAGTATTGAAAAAAAAAAGTAAAAAAGAGAAAATTAAATTTTTTACGAAATAAATTAACACTCTGTACGTTGTCAAAATTATAAAAGAGTTCAGAGGATTTTCGAGATTGTTAAAATATTCTCTCGAAATATTTTGCGAAAATTAACATACACTACTTTTTACACGAAACATACAACGATCTAGAGCCGAAATTCCTTTCTTTTTGTGCTCGTTACCGTTTTAATACTTTTTTTTTGTTTTTTTTTTTTTGTATAAATACGCAATGCATACACGGTTGCTCTACGGAAAACACTGCGTGTGTATTTACATGGACAATTGAGACCACGTATACACGATACAGATACTCGTACACTCGAGACACACACCTCTTGACGAAGCACCTCTTGAACACGAAGTTGTCATTAACGAGCAAATAATGATCAGTAATGATCATCGGTGATAAAGAAAGCACTGCTTCTATTTATGTCCCCACGGGGACGCGAAGTGGAAGCTTTTACTTTCTTCAAGAGGACAACTTGACTGTGATCTGCAATTTAGATTGTTGCTCTTTCACAAGAGAAACGAGAGTACGCAGAAAAAACGCTAGAAGAGATGTTTTTAACAGGTGGACGACAAAGAACTATCCGGCGCGGAAGAGGAGAAGGAAGTCGAGAAGGCCCTGTTGAAACCTTTGCTGTCGTTGGAGGATCTTGTCAGGTTCTCCGCGCTCGAAGGAACCGGCAGCGATTCCCTTAGGAACCTGCTACAACGGGGTCACGAGGCGGGAACCGAATGGCCGGGATTGGAACACCCGAACATCGGTCCTTACATTCAGAAGATGTTGGCCGCCGCCGCACCAATGGGTAACAAGAAAAAAAAAACTTCATTTATTAAGAAATTTTTTATACTTTTACACTCAAGTTGAAATCTTTGAATTTTTTATATTTCTTTACTTGAATTTTAAACTTTAAATTTTCGTACTTTTTTATATTCGAGATAGTATTTTTTTTTTATTCTGGTTACAACGCATTGATTAATACAATTTTGGTTGGTGATACACACACACATGTGTGTGTGTGTGTGTGTAAAAGTAGTTGCGCAAAAGAACTATTCACTAATTTTAGCGTCGGAGATTTGGGTCATTTCTGACAATTACTGCGTTTATTTTATCCACAAACCGAGCAGCCAATCCGCGCCAAGAAACAAAAGCCGAAAAGTATATTACGTCGCGATAGGACTTCTCTAATCGATAGAGAAGCCCAGACCGGTTAGAGCTAGCCAGTTAGCGCTTGCCGATACATTTTTTGTCTTGAAAGACTACTAACTGCTCTGAGTAGCTTAAATTCGTAACTCGGAGTTATTGACAAACGTTCGAAGAAGAAACCGAGAGACAAACAAAGACAAAAAATATATATAGTTTTGTTACAGTCGTTTGGAATAACGTTTCTTGCTAAGTCAAATAATTTATTTACAATTTCGTTTGGATATGTAACGAATAATATTTTTCGATTATTTCGTCAAATATATGTGTATACATATATATATATATATATTCAAGCACATTCTCTGCATAACATCTTGCAAAACGGCCCAAACAACCCGATTTGAATTTAATTAATTCGTTATTTTAATATTTTTCGAATTCGCAGGCTTAGAGACGCCGAACTATCGCATACCGGACGTGGTGAGAAAGCTGATGACCGAGGACAAGAGGCTGAACAAAAATGTGAACGGCGATCAGTCGCAACCGCACCAGCAGCATCATCATCAGCAACACCATCCCCTCGCGGCGCATCAGCAGACCCAGTCGCAGCAACAGCAGCGTACGTCCCTGTCGAACGACGATTTCAATCCTAACATCGAGGAGGAGGCCAGCGACAGTGCTCAGGGCAGAGCGATACTGAAGATTCCGTCCTACAAGCCCGCCAGCACGCCGGGCTGTTCCAGTAAGAACGGCGAGCCGACTTCCGCCGCATTTGCTCAGGGCTTCGCGACTGCGGCCTCGAGTCCGAGTCTTTTGGAGCGAGCCAGTCCAGCGTTCTCCGGCACCAGCAGCCCTACAAACTCGCTGGTTGGCAAAGCGGTAGCCGTTAACTTCCGCGACGTTATTGCCAAGAGCATAAGCGTTAAGTTCCAAGAGGGCCAGACGCCTGGCGCGGCTGGCATGCCAAGTTGCCAACCGGCCGGCGTAGTTCCGCCTCAGCAGGTTGGCAGCATGTTGACCGATCCGAGTCCGTTCAAAAGGGGCCGTTATACGCCCCCGCAACCGCCACAACAGCAGCAACCGCAAACGCCGCAGCAACAGTCGCAACAGCAGCAGTCCAAACAACAGGCGCAGGATGCGAACAAACCGAAGCCGGGTACAGGCGGCAAAGGCACAAGGCCGAAACGCGGCAAGTACAGAAATTACGACAGGGACAGCCTCGTTGAGGCGGTGCGCGCGGTCCAGCGCGGCGAGATGAGCGTTCATCGTGCTGGCAGCTTTTACGGAGTTCCGCACTCCACCCTTGAGTACAAAGTCAAGGAGCGGCATCTCATGAGGCCGCGAAAGAGGTAAATTTTTGCGAAAAGTTTTTTTCGAAAATTTTATTCTTCGACAATATTAATAGATAAATCAGGAGCTACAACATTTCTTTGTTTGTTTGTTTGTTTTTTTTTTTTTTTTTTTTTTTAACGCAGGGACCAGAAGCAACCGGACGACAAGTCGAAGGAGACAGCGACGACGGCGACAACCGCGGCTGCGGCGATGCGACCGAGCGCTGCTGGCGTTGACAAGAAGCCGCAGCTGAAACCGCAAAAGCCTTTCACGCCGCCGGGCGGCATACCGGGTCCAAACGGATTGAAGATGTCACCGTTTATGGAGGGTATGCCCCACCTGCCGTTCGGGCCATTTAACTTCTGGAACCCGACGCCCTTCATGCCCGCCCCGTTTATGGGTGGCGCGCCAAACGTGCCGATTCTGCCAGAACAATACTTCGCGTCGCAGAGAATGCGCGGATTGCAGGAACAACAACGAAACGCGGCTATAGTGCAGCAGCAACATCAGCCACGAGACCGGGACGGAGTCGGCGTATCCGGAACGGCGGACGCGGCTGGCACTTCGAACTCACGGGGCGCATCGATGTCGAAAGTTACGCGCGAAATGGCAGAGATCTACGATACGCCCGGGGCGAACGGCAGTTTTCTGGACAATCTGATCAGGTCGAGCCTTGAGACGGGCATTCCAAGGGACCAGCGGGCGGCGATGGCGGATGCGAGAAACCAGCAGTCGTCGTCGTCGTCGTCGCAGCAGCAACACCCGGAAACGATGAGCAGCAAAGCGCTGATCGACCAGCTCTGCAGAAACTCGAGGAGGACTCCGCTGCCGCGGATTGCGCAGGATAGCAGCGAGGACGAAAGTTATCGAGGACCAGCGGGCAGAATAGTGCCCGAGAGGCCAGAGCGCGTGCCCACGGTCGATCTTAGCCCTTCGCCCTCGGAGAGAGGTCGCACGGAGGACGGCAGCGACCGGCTGACGTCACCGCCAACACCCTTGTCCATAACCCGTGCGGGCAGCAGGGATGAGGATAGCACCCGTGACTCGCGCAGCAGCAGAGAGCGCGAGGTTCACAACGGCCAGGAGGATCGTGATCGGAAGCAGCAACCTTTGAGCCTGCAGCAGCAACCGACACAGCTGACTAACCACTACCCAGACATACACAACCTCTACGCCGTATCAACTGACAAAAAAAGTGCCTGTGATAGTAAGCTTATAGTAGATCATTCGAGCCAGAAGACTCAGCCGCAGCAACAACAAAAGGATTACGCTGCCGTGAGCGGGCTGGTCGTGCAACTGCAGAGGGGCTACAACACCGCGAGCACCAGACCCGGCGAATCGACTAACAGCCAGCAGCCGGCGTCGGAGCAACGCGGCCCCACGCTCAGCATGGAGGACTCCGTAGAGCAGTAGACGACGAAAGTCAGTATCAGTTATCAGTAAAGTATACAAGTTATAACGAGTACAGTAAAACAAACAAACAAACAAAAAAAAAAAACAAACTCACACAAAGGACCTGTTATACAGTAAGCAAACCCACATTCCCGCCCAGATCTCTCCGCCATCTCTCACACGCACCGATCCCGTGCGCCTTCTTCGTAGTTGCGCGCCGCGAACGGGATTTCCCTTTGGCCCACAAAGATTTTTCCCAAAATCTCTCGCGCGAAAAATCTCACGCGCGTTTAATAAATGATCGACGATGTAACGCGCGTTCGAAAGATTGATACACAAGTGTAGGAAGGGAATCCTCAAATACGTTAGCGTCCAACATACGATAGCATCCCAACTTTTATCCCAACAGCCCTTGCTCCCCCATATTGACCTCTCCGTTTACAAATCGGAAGAATCCTCGTTGCGAGGCCAAAGTCTTAGTGCAAACGAAGGGGAGAACGAAAATGGCAATGCATGATGCTGAACCGACCGTAATGAAAAACAAAAAAAAAAAAAAAAACAAAACAAAGGAAGAAATAGAACTCACTGCGATTCCGCAAGTGTAAACGCGTACTCGCCGCGTACAAAAAAAACCCGCGTCCAGCTGGCCGCGGCCCGGCCGATCTGGGATCAGGCGCGCGCGTGCAGGAAATCCTTTCGAAAAAAAAAAAACCACGCGAAAGTTCACATTTCGAACCCGGAGTATACGGAACGAAATAACGGATATAAAAAAGGACACACGCGATATATATATATATATTCATCGTGCCGAGTATACTCACACACGCGACACGCTTTATAGCAGATTTATAATACACTACTGATCCAATTCTAAAAAAAAACTTTGTTTCTTACAATCCAGACATTCCAGCAGGACACACACGACTAATATATACACAAAAAAAAAGAAACACACACAACAGATCGACACACGCATTTAACATACAGACGTAAGTATACGTTAGTATACAAGAAAAAAATAAAACGGGGGGAACACGTAATGAGATACTTAAAGTGTTGCGCGTGTGCGCGCGTACGCGAAGCGTAAAAAAAGTATTGCGGTCGTATTGTTGACTGCGTTGTCATCATCAAAGGTTTCGCACCGCGCGAATCTCGAAGATTCTTCAATGAGGTCTTACTTATTACTCTTCACAATAGACGCGAGTTGAAAATTGATACATCCATATATCCGTTGGACATTCCGCGATCTATTGTGGACAGATCCGCGCTAGCACGTACTAGAGCACTTGTTGTTCACACAAGGTCGGGAGGGGGGAGGGGGTACGCGCAGACACACGTGCGACACAAAAAAAGAAAAAAACTTTAGAGCCGTTCGATGATTATTATTACGATTATTAATTAATATAATTGATCCACCCAGTATCATAATCGGTGGATTGACGACGACCGTCGAGGGTCGAAGAGAAGAAAAGAAAAGAAAAAAAAAAAAATGAACCGATGGAACAAAAATGCCGATGCGACAACATATTTTTTCCTCTATGAGTGTAAAACTATCTTAATGCAAAAGAAAAAAAATTCTTATTACCTACTATTAACACTACTTATCTCGTAAGGAGCGATACATAATTATATTAAGGAATAATATATTATATATACATATATTTTTGGTCATTACGAACGTGTGCGAATTGAGAGAAAAACGAGCCAAGGCTTTTGTTGGCGCGCGTAGGTGGGCGTTTTTTTCACGAGGCGACAATATTTCTAATAATCGCGGTTGTTTCGAGGTCGTTCGTTTCACGAACGCTTTCCCACGTTTCGGGGTAAGGTATAGGCGCACGGCAAGGAAAGCAAGCAGGAAGAGCCACGAGTGATAAAATATCGGAAAGCGGTCTTCGTTGTTGATTATTGTCCGCAAAGTCGAGCGATCTTTTTTTTTGTCCTAACAATCAATGCAACGGCACGTTCAAGATAAATGTCTACATCCGTTTATTTCTGGCTTTCGTTTTTATTTATACAAACGATATAGGTAAAGTGAGGGATTTCTGTGGAAAAAAAAAAAAAATATGTAGCACACCGCGAAAGGGTGTGTCTCTCTTTTTAAATACGTTTAATTATACTTTTTTAAACTGTTTTTTTTTTTTTTTAAAGAGATATACACAAAAGATTGTACGAACAAAAAGACGTAAAGTTAAATAAAAAGAAGATAATCTCTCGAATGTTTGTTTTTACGAGCAATTTGCAACGACGAAGTTCGCGATCTCTTTCGAGTTCCCGTGTCGCACTGTAATTATATGGACTGGAAAAAAATCGCGGTCCAAATTCGGGCTAAGCAAGAAAAATGCAAAAACGTAGCAGAACGTGGGACAATGTAATAAGGAGATTTCAAAAAAAAAAAAAGACAAAAAATTAAAAAAAAAAAGAATACAAAGAAGAAAGAGATACTGTTGCAGCGCGCGCACCCGCTCTCGATTCGGTTTTCTCCGAATATACCGAAAATGCAGACGTTTTTCTTAAAACGCGAGATATCCACTTTTTGATACGAATACAAATTTTCTACCGCGTAGAAGGGAAAAGAAAAAAAGAGAGAGAGAGAGAGAGAAAGAAAGAAAGAAAGAAAGAAAGAAAGAGAGGCTGCAGTTAGCGGCAACGCGAGCGGAGGTGGCGTTGTATCGTTTCTTCGCGAGGAAATAATAAAAGACTCACTCGAAAATCTTAGGGAATGTTTTAATCTCCGTTTTTTGTTTTCTCATCGGCTCCCGCGAGCGACATATTCATTGGGAACCAACTCGTCGTGACGCGTCGGAACGGATTTTTTTTTTTTAGAACGGACACTTCGAGAGAGGGAGGGGGAGGAGCATCTCTATCTCGTCCCCGACAGAGAGAACGGAATTTTCAGTAACGACGATACGAAATATCGAACGAATGACGAATCGACATTTCGAGCGCGGCCGCACGTCTCTCTCATTCGAGATTCTTTTTCGCGTATTCACGCGGTCGTGCACGTCCAATTAATTAAGCTCGCGATATATTGTGATACGAAGAACACATATCCGAGAGTTTTTTCGGATTATCGCGGTTTTTCGAAAAAAAAAAAAAAAAAAAATCGCTCGAGAGAAATTTCAAGTCTTGAGACATTTTCAAGTCTCGTATCGTGTGCAATTGTGATATATAATTACAAAAGAGAAATGAATAATCTCGTCAAAATTTATCTTTATTTTGACGGGATGTGAAATCGAAATAAAAAAAATTTGATAGAGACGACGATTATGAAAATAAAAAAAAAAAAATTTATTATAATTCCAACATAAAAAAACTTTCTCCGAGTTCGTCTATGTATATATATATGCGTTGAGAATAAAACTCTATTGAAAATTTGTAGATATATAAGTCTATATTTTGAATTTGTACATATATTTTTGGGACATATCTTTGCGATTGTCGAAGCGGTAAAGAAACTAAAAAATGAAAATTCTTTTATTTCTCAAATGAGTCCGAAAGAAACGTGCACGACCAATCGAGCTGTTTTCGTCGCATCTTTCTCGTTAAAATTACGTTTTTTCGTAGACGGATCCCCGCGAATCGCTGCAAAAAAAAAAGAGCGATTTCGTCATTTCGTTACTTATATAGCAGGCAGATCGTTGGACCAAGACGAAATCGACGGAGACGAAGGCCGGAGTAGGAAGGTTCGGAGGCCAGACGAACGCGAGAAAACGGCGACACAAAAAGAAAACGAAGAAAAAAAAAAACAAACAAACAAACTAAAAATGGTGCTGTAGTGCGGGCCAGGATTTCCTATGTTTCTCGCATAGTCGAGCGTAGTCGGGAGAACGACGCGAAAAAAAAAAAAAAAATAGAAAAGAAAAAAAACGAAAGTGTGTAAAAAAGAGAGATATAATAATACACAGAGCAGCGGCAAGAAACGAAAAAAGGATGATCCACACTCATCTCATGACTCTCTTTAAAAAGTAACGACTGAAAGACTCTAGGCTGTACATAAAGTATAAGGCATGTATGTTCGGTGTTTTAAAAATGCAAAAAAATTCCTTATTAACGCAAAAAAAATTATACTTACGAAAAAAAGTAAACCATATAAGCAAGGCTACTCTCTCGGTGTTTTTTGGAACTAAACTTAAAATTTACCCTATTTAATGCAAAAAAAAAAAAAAAATAAACTCGTGAATAATGTAACTTTAAAGGAAGCGCGCGTATAAAACGCGCATGAAACAAGTTATTGAGTGTACACGTTAAGGTCTCCTTAGGGTTAAAAAAAAAAAAATAAAATAAAATAAAATAAAGTAAAATAAAAAACAAGCTGAACAGCAAACAAAGCGAGATGCAAGCTAATTATGATTGTGTGTAAACGTAAACTTTAAACCTTCCTTCGCCCTGTGTCCGCTATAAATCACTTTTTGACTGTTCACCCACCCCCACCCCTTGTTCACTGCCCCTTTCTTTCCCCCTTTACTCCTCTTCTTCACTCCTCTCCGCAGACACACCTTCCACAAAATATATTAAAAATCACTCGGTGTGATCTCGAGATGCCTCCGAAAGTCTTTTTCTAAGCGTTCACCAGGCATTTGAAAACTCTTGCGAAAAGGAGGGAAATATGTTTATACACTTGTTCCGACCACTGACTCACACTCACTCCCCCCTCTCTTTACCCCTCCCACACAAACGCCTCTTCACTTCCCCAAAATACCCGCGAATTCGCATCACCCCCCGACACACCCTCAGAGAAGTTCAAGCCCGATTTACCCTTTATCGAAAGATTTATCGTTAGATGTGAAAATAAAAAAAAAAAAAATGATATTTATAGTGCGGATGATAGTAAACGTGCGTACACTATTGATTGTCGTTAATTCAATTTACGGTTATTACGAATATTTCGTCGCGACGTTTTGGTGCGGTCTACAAATCGGCGGATCTCAAAATCTCCACGATCCATCGGGTGCAACAACGCGGTACGTTTCTCGTTTTTTTTTTTTTTTCGTTTCCGTTCACGCAAAAAAAAAAAAAAGAAAAAGATGGGGATCTACATCTGCGGGGGAGAGATAGAAAAACGCGGAGCAAAAATTCGAAACTAATAACCGGCGCGTTCGCGTCGCCGAAAATAATTCGCGGTTGCCACGCGGATGTCTCTCTTGTCTCCTTCGCGCTGCGTCTTCCGGTAATTGGATCAAATTCTGCAAGTAAGAAACGGTCGGCGGAATGAAATTGCTGTTGATTTTCTTTCCGACGGAGAAATACAATGTTATTCAATTGGCCGGTGCAATTTTCGCCGAAGCTTGACTGCTGCGAAAATTGGCCGGTACGGAAAATTCCAACGTATTGAACATTGCAATTTGCAACGTAACGAATATAATGACGCGTTTCCGTGTTTTGCGCTTTTAAAAATTAAATAAGAAAATTAATGCAAGTTGATGCGATGTGAAAAAATATAAAATTTAACTATTTAGTCTCTGTAAGTTCGTTGAAAAAATGTGGTCGAAAAAAAAAAAAAAAACACTTGTTTACAAATCGAGAGCAATTGTGGATGTGTTGATATTTTTCAAAAATGTAGAAAAGATTGGATGTATCTCTGCATTTTGTTGTAAATTAAAAAAAAAAAAATGACGAGATGTGAGAATTCTTACTTCGCAAATTTGATTGCTTAATTTAACCGCGCGTGAAGACGCCGCGCTGCCGAGACACATCTGACATATTTTCGACGACGCGAACTTAGCATTTAACTTAGAATAGAATCGATTAGTCGGTCATTTTGATGTCATAATTAAACGAGACGTCCGCGTGTAATAATGATGATCTCCCAGCGACACACACGTCGACGTGTCTCTGCCGTAGCGGTTTAGACTTATATCCACAGACGCGCGTAACATACATACATACAACAAACCAATTTGTTTCTTTTTCGCGGCGAGACCGGAAGATCTTGGCGCGCGATACGATACTTCGAAATAAACACCGATTCCGCGAGATGATGTGATTTCGTTTCTTCTTCGTGAATTATCGAGAAAGAAAGATCGAGGGTGATTGGTTCGTCCATCATTTCTCGACGACTTTCTCTTCGAACGAGATCCGAGAGGAGGAGAGGAACGCTCCCGTTCTTTAAAAAAAAAAAAAAAAAATTTGCTACGCGCGATCGTCGGGGAGATGAAAATGAGAGAACTCGAGGCTTAGGCAGGTACCGTTGCAGACGCGATTGTTGAAGCACTGTCGATTTTTCGTTCTTTTCTTTACGGGAGAGACGGCGGGAGACGAAGGCACGAATCCTTTCGAATGGAGATCGCATTGTTGCTCCCTGTTATTGGGAAATTGAGCTTAGGATCTCTCTCGTGCGCGCGTTCGCAGTCGCGGCGAGATGACAATTCTCGCTCGATTCCTTCCGAAACGGAAACGCTCGAAAATCAGACGTGTGTGTTTCGCGCATCGTTATCTCGAGGAGAACACAAAAAAAAAAAAAAAAAAAAAAAAACTACGAAAGAAATATAAACGAATAACATTCGAACAAGAAAACGTCTGAAAGATTGTGGAATGTTTTAAGAACATTTTCGTGTCATATCTTTG